ACTGGTACCAACAACTGTAAATACGGGCACAACAACAGTGGTTGAATTGATACCTACCAGAGAGATTAATGCTGTTATCGGAACCGAAACTCATGTTTTACGTGCAAAAAGAGAACGTGCACCAAGTTTACCCTCAGAAGCTACGGAGGCAAATGCGAAAGCTGAGAAAAATACGGTACGCTTTCAATAATTTTATGAAATTTCGCGCATTTGAAAACCCGAATTTGCATAAATCTTGCATTACCATGCATGCTGGAGGTTAAGATTTCACGCGGCCCCGTAATGCAACGCTACTGTCCAAGCCGATGCCCTTTTCCCCTCCATGCAAGGAAAGACCAAAAACGCAGCCAACATGAGTGCACATGTTAAACTGTAAAACAGCAAGAAGATGGCTGTTGCTTCAGCTGTTAAGAGGATGGCTGTTGCTTCACAGAATTGTATTTCAGATAGCAGTAGTGGAGATAAATGCGGCTGAAGAACTGGAATCGCCAACATCTCCCGGAAGTCCTGGAAGTTCTACGATGGGTTACACTGTTGCTACTGGAGCAAGACATCGTGCAGCTGTGGAGGATGCCCTCAGTGATCTTGATAAAGCACTGAATTTGGAGGAATCGATGACCCGAGAAGCTGATGAGGATGGTAACTTTTAGAGTTTTTGTTGTGTCCACGAATCACTGAAGCTAAAAAGTCGGTTGTAGGATAGCCAGGTTGACCCGGGAAGCCTAAATGACGGAGGCGCGACAGATTATTGCATGAAAGAACAGTATGAGAAAAGAAGATAGGAGAGTGAGATGAGACGTTTCGGTCCATTAAGTCATATACGTCTTAACGCCGCGGCAGGATCTCGTCAGTTTGACGGTCGCAGTGCTTAATGGAAAAGAGAAAGGCGACACTAATTTTTTGTAATTTTGGAATAAGTCTGATTGAGTTAATAATTTTTACTATTTTCACTCTTTGAACCAACTTCCAAATTTTCCTTTCAAAATCTATTTTTCTTTCATTTTCAGATGAGCCGTCGCCACTGCCTTCTCTAGCGCCATCGCCTGGTTTTTTCCCATCCGAACGTTCCGATCCCACACAGCCACTGCGACACGATGCTGTCACGGTTACCACTAATGCAGAGGGAGGGGCAAAACCCAGCACGGTATTTGATTCGAGGTTCACGGTTGATGGCGGTGTGCAGCTGTTGAGACAAACTAAAATTGACGGTAGGCTTTTTAACTGTTCAGTAAATTTAAAAAACAATTATCCAGTAAATAATTAGTACTGAGGTAGAAATTGAAAGACGAGGCGGGTTGAGGGGGCGAAGGGGGGAGTGGTATTACTTAACTGCTCAGTAAATTTAAAAAACAATTGTCCAGA